AGCGTAGCAATACGATAGCTTTAAACTTCATCATACAGGAAATTTTACTATGTTAGTTTAGTAGATATCGCAGATCTTTCGATAATGAAATCTTTAAAGAGAACTCCACAACAGCAACAGTCTAATTAAATGTTTTTATGGGCCTAGATAAAGTAGTAGGGTCTCGGGAGTCTTGCTAAATTATCTCTGTTTTCTAATGTATTGATTGTCAAGAGTGCTTCCTTCAATAGAACACCGAAACAAATGACAGTATGAAAAACATGTCTGTTTTAAGAGTGAGTTCCTGTACCCATCTAGTTGCCGTTATGTTTAAATTAAGTTTTATGAATCATGAATAATTGGTTTCTCCAAAATCTGACTAGTTACTTACAGGTTTGCACGGAAGTAAAATAAATGCAGGAGGCTTAGCGGTTTTGATGGTCACCTGAGATAAGCAATATTGAAAATAAGGTTAAACGGTAGTTATCAAGTGTCATGAAACAGAAATTTTGATCATGAATCTATTTTGGTAATTAAAGCACCCGAAGATTCTTCCATTTCTGGGTGTTGAGAAGATTTTTTTTTAAATTAGAAGTTAATTTGACCCTTTTTGGTACCGCCCATCAGTCCCTTTGGAGTCAACCAGGATCAATATGGGCATACCATTAAGCCATCATCATTCACTCGTAATTCTAACCAAGTTTAAATATTTCAAATGGAAATTAAACAAATTATGCTCAAAAATCTATTTTTCCTACATAAACTATAGTAAAAAATACCCCCTCTCCACAGGAAAATGGGAGACCCTGGGACCATGAAATTCACAATTTTGGTAAAGCACCTTAAGATGTTTCCATCCAAGAAGAGCATTTGATTCTACCATACCTGGGTGTTGAGAGAAGATTTTTGAAATTTAAGCCAATTTGACCTCTTTTTGTCCAGCCCATCAGCCCCTTTGGAGTCAACAAGGATCAATATCATCAAGCCGTCATTCTTCACTTATAATTCTCGCCAAATATAAAATATTTCAAATGGAAATTGAACAAATTATGCTCAAAATCTATTTTTCCTATATATAACTATAGTAAACTATACCCCCTTCCCTTTAGGAAATGTGAGATCCTGTGGCCATGAAATTCACAATTTTATTAAAGTAACTTAAGATGCTTCCGTTCATGAAGAGTATTTGATTCTACTAATCTGGGTGTTGAGAAGAAGATTTTTGAAATTCGAGTTAATTTGACCCCTTTTGACTCGCCTCTTAGGCCCCTGTGGGTAGGGGACTGTATAATTCATAATTTTGGTTCATCTTTGGCCAGGAAAGGTTTCTGCAAAATTTCATTGAAATCGGATCAGGAGTTTTTGAAAAGAAGTCGAAAATGTTAAATTGTTTACGGACGCACGACGCTGGATGAAGGTGATCGCAATAGGTCATCATGAGACTTTGTCTCGGGTGACCTAATGACAGATACAAAATGCATGACAAATTTTTATTCCTGAATGATGTTATTTATATATGAGTCAAATGATAAAAAATCGCTATGATTGCTTCGTCCCTGTCTACGTGTTCGGCAAGTCTGGATGTGTCCGTGAATGGCTGCTGGCCAAATGTCGATAACTCTTCATGATTATAATTTATCGTCTGTATAAAAATTTAATGATCCATTACCAGCGGTCAGCGAGGGCAATAATTGGGTAGATACATTATCTGATTGCGGTGGATCTAGTCCATTTGGTTTCTTGATATAAAGCGAATGGGAAGGAGTGTTTAAGTGCAAAGTATGTTGTATCGGATGATAAACTGAGTTGTCATTCAAACATTTGTAAAATTTATTGATCAATATAGAGTTACTTTAATAGTTGAGTTCAACAGTCATAAAATATTACAATAAAATCTAATTGATAATGAACCTTCTCGTTTATTTTTCCATTTCCTCTTTTGCACCGACAGGTAGTATAAGTCAAGATTGTGGTACAATATGTCTATAATTAACCTCAAGTTTTCATACTCTGGTAATTTTCTTTCTGTACAATTTAATCTAATGTGGTTTATTTTGTAAACTCAACCAACATAGTATTGAAAAATTATTACGCACAGATACCTATTCTTGTTGAAAAGATATGATGCAAATCCGTATACTATGGTAAATAATGGGTTTTGGTACATCGTAGTATGGGGAAATAACGAATATAAAATCGTCAGTCTTTTTTTTATCTTTTTATTCATCCATCAATATTGTTTTTCCATCAACATTTCTTGGTATATCATAATGCCGTCCTTCAACTGTTTATGCTGTCTTTTCTATGGGAAACAACATACTCTTAGAGTACGTATTTCTTCCAGCCTTAATTGTCACCTTATTGACAATGACATCACATTCACATTGACTGTATTAATACGGACACCGTTGGTCTGACTGTTTTTGTCTTCCTTAACAACGTCAATAAACGATGTTGTGAAGCAACTGCACCAGCTTCCTTTCTGTTGGCTGATGAATTTCATACTCGTGACTCGAGGGGTTACGCTCACTTTCACTCCCTGCATCCCTGAAACATTCTATGGAAAAATTGAAGTTCCATGTGCGACACCTTGTGGACAAGACGAAAAGACTAGTTTGATCCTTTGATGTACATCACACGAATCGTGAGGTCGCATAACGATATATTGTAATGGCCTTGAAGTTGGGTGTTGCTCTTTTGTAATTGGTCCAGGTGTTTTTCTCTCTCCTGAAACCAATCAAATTACTTTACTTGTGCCTTCAATTTTGTCATGACATGCTCTAGGGGCGTAGAGAGCGAAAATGATAGTAACCTCTGGGAATATCGAGGATGGAGGATTTTTGGAATCAATGTGACATAACTCAGAAAAAGTTACATATTGTGAGAAGAAAATCAAATGGAAGTTGCCATTTTCAACTGGTGTCATAGTGTCATTGTATATATCATGGCATCACAATTGATCTCTGACAGATACAGCTGATGAAAAACGTTCCAACCTATATTAAAGAAGTGACATTATGTGAAGGAAAAAATCATCAACACTTGGAGATGGAGACTACAGAAAAGTTTTATGGTCCTTATCATAAACTTTATTTGATTTTCTGTGTAGTATGTAGTTTGATATGGTCGATTCTCATTAGTTTACTTCATGGTTTTGTGGATTTCAGTCTAGTTAGCATTTAGAAACAAGAGCAGCCACTCTTTAAAAAAAACAGTCAAATCAATCTGCCATTCTGACTATCCGATGGTTGAAAAAGATCTGTTGAAAACTATGAGAAGAGATCTACAGACAAAGAGTTAATGACGGAGGTGCAATTTACCTCAATTTATTCCAAAGTTCCAGGAAACATCTTTTCTATGTTTGTTCATATTTTACTCTCTTTTTATTTATCTATTTGAAGTTTGGATATCTATTTTGTCTATTTTTCTCTAGTTGTTACTGAAATGTGACATTGAAATCCAAGAGTTCAGTTCATATCTTCTAAGCATCTTCCAAATTCATCATTGCATGGACCATTATTTTGATTGGTTTCAGACCTAAACATCTAATCAATCAATTATTTTATCATTTTACAGGACACATGGAACAAAGTTTCAATTTCATCATAACTTCTCCAATGATGCATAGAAAAGTGAATGTTAACAGTAAAATTAGTGATATGTATTCAAATAAGTCTTTTTAAAAAGATGTATCTATCTGTTTTGTTACCTTGGTTATGTAATATATTCAAAATCAATATATATGAATATGGCTTTATATACAAACATATTTCTATGTACACTTCATATTATCATGGACTTAGAATATTTTAAGTCGGTGATATTATATATCATAAAGTATGGTATCACACTGTAACAACATACAGAACCACCAATATGTATTGAAATAATGGAACTCATTTGCTAAACTATTTGAAGAAATATTGAAATACCTTTTTACATAACCATAAAGCAATTTAATATGATTTGGGAGGAGAGTGGGAAGGCTGCAAAACCCAGGTTTCAGCTGCACTCCTAGAACCTCTATCCCTAGACAGTAATCATGGAAACAACAGTGTATGAAGTGAGAATTTAAATAGCTGACCTTTGATAATCTGAACCGTGAGACTGTTTATAAATTAAGTCAGTAACATTACTATCTCACCAAGCCCCTTCAACATCATAATCACCAGGACTTCTAGTCTATATAAGAATATTTACAATTTACACTTTAAAAGAGAAAAAATTGGTTATTAAGTATAACAATTAAACCTAAACAATTCGAGTTGTATGTTTCTAGTGAATCAGGAATTCTTTTCAACTTTAAAAAAACTTTAGGTTTGTAATTTTTGAGTCAGTTTTTTTTGTTTTTTTTGTTTGTTTCCTTTGTTTATACAAAACTCTTGAGCTTGCAGCGGTAGTTTAGTAGGGAGTTTGAAGTATGAAGAGGACGGTGTTTATACATATTTTTCCTATGATCCTTCTCTGGTTGATAAAATTGTTTTCTATCACTTGCACGTGTGATATAAATAGTGAAGCGCATATGTTTCCTTGATGTGTACAGTGGGTAGGAGGCTTAAAATATTTGCATGTGAATCATTCTTAAATGATCTCTCCCGAAGGATCAGAATGACCTATAGCCATTGTGTTTTGTCCGTCATTTTGTCCGTCATTTTGTGCTGTCAATCGTCCATAAACTTTTTGCATTCAAACTTCTTTACAAATTCCACCTGTGGGATTCAGTCGAAACTTCTTAAACGATCCAGAGATCCGGGTCAGCCTGAACTGCAATGCAATGCAAAGAGTGTTTTTGGCCTTTACTGTTAAGATATCTAGAACTGTTTAAGTATTTGATAACCACTGCTGCTGTCATCTCCTATTTAAGTCTTTATTTGATAACCAATGCTGCTGTTATCTCATATCTAAGTCTTTATAGTCAGAGGACCCTTTAGGCCCATCAGCCTCATTTTATACTAGGCACACTTAACTATTGCCTGCCACAATGCAGTTGTCATATTCACATTAAACAACTACGGACTGTATTTCCAAACTTTTAAGATTTATTCAACTATTCACTGCATACACTGCAAGTTAAAGTTACTTTTACACAGAAATCTACAAACACATGATACCCTTAACAATATGTTGGTACATTATGTATTTTGTTGATTTTCCAGTAAAACATAGTAGCACATTTACCAGCAAATTATGGTCAGGAACTGTTTACATTAAACCACCATGCATTCACAGGGCACACAATTTTATTTGAATTTAGAATAATTAAGGTTTTCCAGAATGACCAAGCATTTAAACTCACCGATAATCAATAAAAATCAGTTCCATAACATGAATTTTCTATACAATTCCATAAGAAAAAAGAACAGATTGACGCTTTATTCTATATGGACATTTTTAAAAAGTATCAAGTTTTTGTCAATTTTCAAAATTGCAACATCATCATGCAGTGTAAGACAATTCATGAACACAGTGATATATATCACAAGTTATTTTGCATGTATATTATTGATTCTAACCCTGTGTTAATAATTCAGACAAAATGGACAGATTGAAAACAAATAGAAAGCTTTGTTACTTATCCATTGAGGAATGAGCGAGTACATTTGTCACATATACGTAGATAACAAAACGTTTGCCGCACTGTTTTAATTCACAAACATAGAATCTAAAAAAAAGCATGATACCAGTAACACACACACAAAAAGCCAGGTGACCCTGTCCTTAGATTTCATCACACAAAAAGTTGGGATGTCTCAATGCTTTTTTTCACAGATCGAAATACTTCATTTGTTCGCTTCCTCAAAGTCACTGTCAGGCGAGAATGTATCACTATATTGGTTGTCAATGGAAGGGTAGCGCCATCTGATTCTCGCAACCACACAACTGGGAGGTTTTGGTACCTCTATATCACCTTTCCCAAGATTATTCCACTGCCATAAGATGAAGCAGCGATACGCTTGACGTCTGTATTGGGCATTGGAGAAACTGCCCATTTCTGCAAAACTTTCAGAGGGCAGGCCAATGTCTAGTAGGCCCATGAGAAGGTGGTCAGGCCGGAGACACACGCTGCGGAATATAGGATGGAAACTGATACAAGGTGTCTGAGAGCAACACATCTGCATCTGGCTGTTTTGCATTTCAACACACTGAGTACAGGAGCACCATATTGGGGGCGTGTCTATCTGGACCCGGTGGTAAGGGGCGTGGTCAGGATTTATATAGGCTTCCACATGGAAGGGGTCATCTTCTAACATCTTGAGCAGGGCACTACGTGTTTGTTCCAGCGACATCCCCAATATTTCCTGCTGTAATCAACATAATGAAACATTTATGAATGATAAACGATTGTTTTTATAATTATATATTTTGGAAGATTTTTCAAAGTTATACGTAAAGCTTGAGGCAAACGGAGATGCAATTCTCTGTTTAATTGTTATTCTCTTTTTTTCTGGAATCTATTTTTCATTATGTTTTTTTCCTCACACCTCCACAGATGCTACATCAATTGTAATATATTCAACCCAAGTCACATGAACATTTCATGAATGACTGAATTTTACTAGACATGGACCATGCCATTACCATGCCCAATCTCCCTACAATATATCATAAAACCAAGGTGTCATTACAAAATAAATACGCATAGTGACCAGTTTACCAAGGCAACTAAAATATTTTTGTCAAGAAAAAAAATATTACCATGCATGCACATCTACATATGACTTATAATATTTCTCTGTAGTTTCACTGAGACTGGTTCCTGAGTTTAGGAGAAGTCTTGACAAGATCTCTCTAATCATAAGTCTTATTTGATTACCATGACAACCACTTAACATTTGACCTTTTGGAAGGTAACATCACTTTAATTACTATCCTTGATAATTATATAATTTTTCAGAAAAACCAGACAATATTTCAATTCTGGCCAATCAGAAACCTCCATTAAGTTTCAATAAAAATGGTCTTGAAACACCCAATATGTGAAATTATTGGGCTTTGATAAATCACACAACTATCAATGAGATACCCTCAAAAACAACCTTGACCAATAACAAACTACACTGAAGAATTTTCTTTTAGGGTCCCACTGAATAATCCTTTCTTTACAAAGCAGTTACTTTCCTAAAATGTTATCTTACACAAAAAAAATATTGCAGAAATATTTGGGCATCAAGCAATTGAAGTTTAAAGACACTCTGCAATATTTTGGTAAATAAAATCTCACCTGTACTTTATGGACAACAGAATTTTCTTGATACGTTTCTAATTCTGCTTCTCTCTCCAGTTGTTCATTTGGGGATAATTCATCTGGGTTGATTCGGGTGTTACGAATACTTTTTGCAGCATATGGTGTTTTCTTTTTTCTCTTCTCCTTTTTTATCCTGGTTTGTCTCATTGGTTTAAAACTACCCTGATAAAATGCCAAAGAAATACTTCATAAAGATTTGTATTTTGACATAAGCACAGACTAGATTTATGGAACAGCATTTTGTAGGTTCCTCCTTAAATTAATGACAGCTTAAGGCAACCTTATTGACATTCCCTAAACATCAACCTGAAAAGATGTGGTACTCGATAGATGGCAACAAAGATATATCAATATCATTGTTCGTCAGAGTACAACGAATATGAGTTCTAAATCTGTAGTGTTTGGATTTATGTTTCCACATGCTGGTATATATATATCACCCAAAATTAACCGATCTCAAAACTAGAGCTATTATGAATATAAGCTTTTTAGTAGTTTCTTACTAAATAAACCTGCATTTTCATAACATTGAAGAAAATAAGCTGTGTTTTATTATCAAGTTTTAAGGGCATACAAATACTCATAAAGAGACACACGATTTCCATTTAAGCAAGCTAAACTGACTCACCTCTTGGTTCCTGTAGCGACATGCATTATTGTTACATCTTGAGCATCCAGTTAATTTACAAACACATGTTCCACATGTACCTGTTCTGTAGCACGGACAACAAGGGTTTTTCAGCTTCTAAAATGACCAAAATAAAATGTTTTTATTGAATGGATCTTAGGTACAGGTAAGAGCAGTCTGTTTCAACAAGATGGAACAGCTTATTTCCCCAGTCAGAATAGAAATGGTAAAGTACCACCTGTCTGACAATGTTTGCTTTCTTTTCATCTCAAGGACAATATTCTTTTAAGTATTGAAAAACAAGAATTCCTTAGAACTGTATATGTCTTCTGCATAAAGTGTCACAGTCACCCAGAAATCGAACTGGATGTGCAATGTTCAACCATAAAGTTGTAATACCAAATTTCATTTCTATAACTCGAAGCATAAAGGGAAAACTGCACAAAGCAACATTCCTGAGAAATTTTCGAAGTTCAAAGGGGCATTACTCTGCCAAGAAGGGTTACAGACTGCCAAGAAGCAAACTCGATGCGTAACTTCTGACCAGGAACTCATATACAAAATTTCGTTTTGATAACTCAAAGCATAAAAAGTCCGGAAAACTTTCATACGGACGACGCAGGAGCCGACGCCAATGACAGAACTGCAGGCGACACAAAAATGAAAATTACTGTAAGTTCACGGTCTATTAGTTAATAAATAAATCTGAAGAAAACCAGCTTCAACGTTCTTTTTTGTAGTTTTTCAACCCAGGTAGTTAAAATGCATATATGTCTCAAAGATAATGTTTCTGAATACATGAATGAAGTTTGATGAAAACTACATCAGAAATGAAGATGTTATATTATACATAAATGATGTCTAATTTTAAATTTTGCTGATATATATTCATCAAATGTGAATATACAAATAAAAGATCAGATGTTATACAACTGAAAATATATATGCTATTTGATGATTTCACCAATCAGTAGAGAAATGAGTCTGTTTATCGATGACAAAAAATTTGTTATATAAATATGGACATCACTGAGCGATTTTTCTGACATTTCCCATAATTCCTAGTGGGGATATATACATGTAATTATACTAATACTTTGTATACCAAATTGAAAGCTTTATGAAATTACTTGTTTACATAAAAAATGAAAGTGTATGTATAACATGAGTGTAAACTAGTATATTAATTGCTTGTTAACACATGACACTGTACAGATGCCTTGACCTGCAAAACAGCCAGTAAGAATTCTCATTCTTACTTATTCTTATAAGTGTAAACAACCAATAGAATATCATTGAGGCATTAATGTATCTGAATAATCAAAGCTGCAGTACTATTTTACACTAGTTACAGTACTTACAGGACAAATGTAAATGGGATGATTTTGATGAACTTCAATACTGGGCACAGTCACATATATGCGCTTTTCTTGGCGAATTCTCATCTTCAACTTTTCTAGTAACTCCAAACCACATCTGAGGTTTTTAACCATTCCTACTCTTTTCTTTTTTGTATCAGCCTGTAAAAAATTATCAATGAAACAAAGGTTGAAAACTGAAAAAAGTGTTAAAGTGTAAAAAGAAATACACTTAATTTACAATGCACTTTATAAGACTGAAGTCCTCTTGCCCCAAGGATGCTCCAATGAAGTTCATTCATGCTTTAAATGTTTCAACTGATTTTCCCTATTGCACACTATCGTTCTGGCCTCAAAAACCATTTTAAAAAATACTTTGGGTGTACATCAGAACAGCCATACTAAGTACATCACTTAGTCAGGAACATTTCTCTCAGATTTTGAACTTTCCTTCTTTGTAGCAGGTCTTTTTGTCATAAGTTAATAAAATTTGATTATACACATTTTACTACTCAAAAATAAAAATGAAAAAACACAACAAAACAAAAACCCATTGCATGGGCATTGCATCATTTTTTATCCATAACTAAAAATGAACAAAGAGCTTATTCTAGTGAAGCATCCTGAATCTTAATAAATATCATCCAGATCTATTCTATATTCTGTATGTTCACATGGTCTTACTTTGAAATCTAAAAATCTGATGATATAATGTATAGAGATCAAAGCAGGACATGGCTGTTTCTTGAGAGTCTTCTCGGATTTCCGAAGCCTGCAGGTACAGACATCAGTGCAATTCTGTTAAAAAAAAATGTATAAATTTTAAACATTTGAAACAAAATTATATCATGAACATGAGACCAAATGATCTACAATAGCAATAAGGTAGTTCTTCGCTACAGGTATTTCAAGGAGGCCCTGCCTCAAAATGAAACTGTCTTCACAAATTGATTAACTTTATACACCATATCTCACCTTCTGCTCCTCCGGAGTTTTGTTACATAACACACACCACTTTTTCTTCTTTACTCTATTTATATTTGGGTTTCCATTGAAGCGACACATTCGAGTTTCTCTTCCCAGTACCAAGTAGGGTACGTTGTCAGCCACATAGTCAGCCGGCTTCCATTGTTCACAGAGTGGAACCCATCGTAATCGATGATTGTCCAAACACTTCACCTCTGCAAAATGAGATATTGCATAAAACTTGTGAAAATAAAACCTACAGTGATTTGTATATACTAACGATTTCATTTACCAAACTATACATGTATATATCTGAAACTTTCAATATACATACGAGTGAAATCTGAAGACCTGTCCTATGTTTCATTTCAACTTAATACAGATTTCATTTAAAACTTTTCTAGCATTTATCATTTGAAATCAGTGAACAGGACTTCATCTCATATCTTATCTTAATGATCTACATGTTACTGTAAACCACTTTTTTTGAGAATACTTTATTTTTGCGAACTCACCTGAACAGACATATTCACAACTAAATAATTCGTGTTATATATGTCTAGCAGATTTCATTGTGATAATATGATAATGTATATATGAATTCCATATATAAAACAAAAGTAAAGGCAAATTAACAACAAAGTAACAAGGATATCATTATGAGATTCAAACTAGTAATCATGAGATATTTGAATTCACAATTGGCTCTCCTCTCATATTTACGCAAAAATAAATCCTTGCAGTAATTTACAGTAAACAGCACAGTGTTCAGCATTAACTTTAACAAAAATAGAAAAACACCAAAAATTGCATCCCATAAAAACAGATCATCCTCCAGTATTAACACTCTAAGGTCCCTTTTGCTAAAGCGCTTGAAACGGTTCGACCAAAAGAACCTTCAAGAAAAACGTAGGTACAGATCAAGATGGAGGCTGGACTGTGGAATTTGGCACATGCAGATTGATGGGTCCAGCCATACCAAAACTAACTTGCTGAAAATCATTAGTTTGTAGAATTTCATCATTAAGTAGGGTCGGTGCACTCACATATTTCTGAGAGAATTGTGCTATTAAGTATGAGTGAAATGGATGGTATCTTAATTCTAGTTTCATGTTTTATACTTGACAGGAAATTTTGAAACTGCATTTTAAGCTTTACATATATCAGGTCCAACATCTGGTACATGTATCTTCTTTCATCATGGAATAATTCTAGACCACATGAACCATTTTAATTGAGCTATGCAAAAGCAGCCTATTTAATGGAGCATTAAATGAAGGCTTGCCATAGAATCCCACAAGTGTGTTGTTCTACATATATTACCCCATTTTTCTTAATATATCACATATCTATCCAGCTGAAAGAAACTGTAAACACGAAACTATGAATAACAACTTTGCTGAAATAGAATACTGTTTACTATTTTACGGCTGGTTATTGAAGCTAGGAAATGAATTTTGCAGATTTTTCAGGGAATCATTAAAACAGAGAATTCTTTTAGATAATCAAGAATGATGTAATACTTCATAATACACAAGTAAATGAAGAATCCTAATACTAATACAACACAATCACAAGTATAAATTATGACAAGCGAATATTTTATGTTGTATAGGGTTGCTTTAACATTTGAAATGGTTAGACCAACAGAACCTGCAAGAGCAATGTGTGGTATATAGATCAGATGCATTCATTCATCATATAATAATTCCCGACCGCATGAACCATGTCAACATGGTTAAATGAAAGCGACCTACTGGTTTAATTTTAAGGGCAAATACTTCTTGGATGTTCTTTTTTTGGGCTGGTTCATGGGTATAAGCTGTATGTCTATGAACTGGTGTGAACTGTAGAAATGTCAACTGTCTATTTATTATTTTGTTATCTTTACTGACCAAGAAAACAAATATCACACAAATATTACCACTACACAGTAATTCTATTTTTCATGACAGGAGCACTAAAACACTTAAGATTAGTTTGCACAGACATGTAATACATGGAAATATAGATATAAATTATGTCAACATACTGCTGTTAACCCTTTGTGACCTGATTTTTACTGAATATGTGTATGTTTGAAAACTGACAACATGAATATAACTATGAAATTTAGCACATCTTTTTTTAGACCCGTGGAAATAACTGACTATATGTTTATGGTAAATTTTAATACATTGTAAATAAAATGATAAAAAATTTTCAAGCAAAACTGCAATTACAGGTTTATCCTAAACCTTTGAAAAAAGAATACAAGCGGACATTATAACATTACCTGTTATTTCTAAATTTACAATCCTTGTAGTTTTATTGCAACGGAATATACTACATGTGTCCTCTTCATATTTCTTTATGCATTCTTCCATAACACTTCGATCATCAGTGTAAAAACAGTTATCAGATACAGCTACACTGCCCTCTATCCCTTTCCATGGCACTTTTTTCCTCTGCTGATCAATATGTACAAATTTCTCTTCCTGGCTTTTAGTACCACTTATTCCAGGTGACTGGAGAGACTTGAATTTTCGTCCCAGTGCTGGAGAATTTGACACTCCTTGTACCATCTCCTCCTGTGGTGTTTTTAACAGTACATATCGTGCAGTTTGGTTTGGTGACTCTAACAAAACTAATTTTGCATACGTTGTGGAATTTTGGGACTTGGAGGGTGATGACACTGATGGAAAGGGAGGTGACTTAGATATTATATCTGTTGGCCCTGTGTTCATTGAAGCCAATGCACTAGCAGCAATGTTCCTTGGAGAAGTGGGTTCAAAGTCTAAATATTCTGTTGCGTCTTTTCCATTATCAGTGATCTGTTCAGAAAACAAAAACTGCTGCATCAACTTTCAGCATAATACATTTCAGCACTTGTTAGTGTACACTTGACAAGATTTAAAATCAAATTCATCAAAGTTGATCAAATTTAGTAAAATCAAAATGAAACATTTTGTTATTATTAGAATATCAGCCCATGATGTGTCCATTAGTATATGTTTAACAATATAGTCATGTTCAAAATTATCATTCATATTGTTTCAACATTTCAAAACATATTTTGATATGAGGCATGATTAAGTTAAAATTTAATCATGACATTTGTCAAGAATTTTTTTTCATTTCCTCCCTTCTGTAGAGTGCAGTAACATGCCACTGGTCCTTGTCTCTAAAAAAACAAAAACAGAAAACTACCACAATAGAATCCTGAGAACATTCGAGAGTAAAAAAAGACCAGGAAGTTGTTACAAACCAGTGTTGACATTAGAAGGTGGTATGTACCTATTATAAGGTTGCATGTGTACCTATATGTTGATTAAAGTACTCACCTCTATCTCAATACCACTGGGTTCCACAAACTCCTCTACCTTCTTTTCCTCTTCTTCTGCAACCTCCATACTCTCAATACCAATTTTACTGACCTCTGCTGGCTCCTGTTTTATCTTGTCTGCTAACAGTTTCTTTGGCAGTGACATCAGCAGTTCTTCTAATGCAATCTTGACAGGCTTCTACAAGGATACTCTCTAAGTTTCAGCACTATTGACATACCGGTACATGCATTACGTAAACAGATATGTATTCCTACATAATCTTTAGAGATAGTTAAATGTGTATGTTTACAGAATTGGGACTTCTGTTAACTATGAAAATCACATAGATGGAAAAACTGTCAACCAGTCAACCAATCAACCATAACAGTATTTTCTGCAAGATTTTTGTGTTATTATATAATTTTAGCATATTGAATTTAGAATTCCAGTGGAATGGGGAATATAAGCTTGTATTACATTTTCGCATGTAAATGTAAATTTTAATAATGAAATTATACATGAAATTTTCCGGTGGATATAACAAGATTGATATTTTCATTCTGCTTTGGTCAACCAGATCACAGCAATGGCAGCAAAAACATCAATTCTGCCAGAGAGTATTATTGGAACCACAACACTGGCAGTGGTAGCATGTGAAATGGTAGGAAACAATTGTTTTATTGTTAATGTATTGATCCTGCCGATACAAAATGACTTATCGAAATGTTTCATGTGCCATATTCACTTACCATATGTTAATTATAAATGATAGCAAGATTTGTGTCGTAGATGTGAGACTATATATCTGACACTTTACTTACAATAAAGCATACATGATATATTTAGAGAACTAACATCGATGAAAGGTTTGAGAAATACATAACAAAGAATATTCATTATTAATTGATGAATATAAGTTATAATTCATCTCACTGGGTGCAAACTTGGATATTTTCAACCTCCCTTCAGAATTTTTATTGTAATTCACCAAAAAAATATTCTCTATATAAGTGAGAATCAATCAAATAATCAATAGCCAATCATTTAAGGCAATAAATCAATAAAGACAAAGTGGTAATACACAATGACTTCAGAACTAGAAAAGGGAAGATATCAACAAAATGTAAAATTATAGCTAATGATCCAGTATGTACAGTAGAGAATGTCAAGTAAAAATATTCATAAATTTTGTTAAGTAAAAGGAGAACGTTTATTGGTCTAGAAATCTTTATCGAATAGTTATTTCAACTTTAGCTAATTTTTTAACACAGGGTATGAGTATGACCCATTGGTAGCGATGAATGAGAATGGTGTATACATACCTCTGTTGCTACTTCAGGAGCAGGAGGGTGATTATGATCATCTTCCTCTGGCATCCTTACATATACTTTGTACTCTTTTATTGTAGATTTATTTGTAAATTCTTTCTGCAGCTTCTCAGACAAAATTGTCCTCTGGTTCTTGTCTTTTTCTTTATTCTGCATGTAAGATACAAATTCATAAAAAAACAGTCTCAGCTTTGGGCATTAAAAATGTAAAGATCATGAATCTGATTATCAAATAATAATTCATTAAATCACCAGCAGCTGTATCCACCAGTAAGTCTGGGGACATATTTCAGCTTCGTTGAGTTTTGAGAGAAATGAAACCATGAAAGCAGATTTAAATGTGCCAATGGCATCAGCAGAAACAAAAGACTGACTTAGGGACCAACTTCCATAGTGTGATACTTCTAAGATATAAAGAGTACATTGGGAGCAATTTCTTGATGTATTTTAAGTCATATAGATTACCAGGGGCTGGTTTGAATGCCGGGATTGATAGAGAGAGCGACATCATTGGATCCAGTTTACGGAGTAGGATGAGTCTGTATTGAAGTGTGGGGAGTTCTTACAAACACTCAACATTGGACTAGTATCATATACTTGATTTAGCAGGTGCTGTAGGTGTCGAAGACTGCAGCAGAATATCCTCATTTGGAACGACTTAGGGTTTCGTTGTCTAGTCCTTACTGAACTAGGTCTTACTTTAACACTGCAATGGTGGAAACCTAACAAATTGTTTTCTTTTGATGTTATAGAATTTATATCTCATCTGAGACAAGAGAGAGGCTCTCAAGATATCTGACAGAATTAATAGTGTCTTGTATGTAGTCTGTACATAGGGGAAGATGTGACTGGTTTTTGATGGAGACATGCAGGACAGAACATTTGTCAGGATAAACGGATATAAGCCAGTGTTCAGTTTGAAGTTTTTCTGTATCACAACATCCTCAATACTCCAGGGGTTACCATTAATTTTGCTCTCTACACCCTAGAACATGACATAGCAAAGTTGATGGCACAAGTAAAGTAATTTGATTGGTTCCAGGAGAAAAAAATTTACCAATCACAGGCTTATACGCTCATTTTTAAGATTACAAAGGAGTGACATCCAACTTCAAACCCAGTACAACATCCCGTTATGCAACCCAGAGATTGATTTGATGTACATCAAAGGATCAAAGTAGCACATAGAACATTCAATTGGGCTATAACATGATCCAGAGGGGCAGAGAGTGAAAGTGATTGTAACACTTGGAGTATCGAGGATGGTATCACTAGAAGTTTTTTATTTCTCAATGTGAAGCTGTCATTAGAGATAGAAAGTGCTATATTTTCATGTATTCTGTCGGATTATTGCACTTTGATTTTATCAGTTAACAATAGTATGAGGCTTAAAACAGTACTCCGAGGTATACCAGATGTGATAGGGATTGTACCGGATGTTTAGCTATCATGATATAGAACTGTTATAAACAAATGATGCATGCAAACTCTGAGTTTTTTATCCGATACCATAAAAGTTTCACTTATACAAGAGATCCCAGAAGGTCTTGGCACCCACCATTGCTTGGTCTTTATACATGTTTGTTCAATGAAAGTTTGTAATTTTAATTTCCCTTCTTTTTTATTTCTTCCTGTTTTTCTTCTTAATTATGTGAAATTTGAAAATTCCCCCTAAGAAATAGTAAAAATAATCTTCAACTGCCAAATTCAAGATGGCTACCTGTTGTCCATTTCGTTTTTTGATCAGTCCCAAAATGAGAAGGGCAAAGCTAATAACCAACGGTAATCTACATGATATATTAAATTTGGAAAGATCCCTACAGTACTTCTCCATAAATAGTGATAACATCCTTTCATTGACAAAATCCAAGATGGCCATATGTCTGCCATTTTGTTTTTCTGATCAGTTCCAAAATCAAAAAAGTACAATAAGAGATTATAGGGAACCTAAACATTAAATTTTAGAAAGACCGGTCTTATACATCTCAAGAAACAGTATTAACAAGAATTGTATATAGACAGACGAACCACAGACAAAGGGCAATTTGAATAGTAGAAGATCATACAGACACAAGACTTGTAATTCACCATAGAGAAATAAAGGTGAAAATTTGAAGCATTAATGCTTTTTGTTTTAATACTGGTTAGCTCCACAGGCACTTACCATAGTTTGAATATGGTATAAAAAATTAAATATGTATGCTTCCTTTTAAGTGTGAATAAAAGGTCGTACTATAAATAATACAATGCCTAAAACACTTCTTAAAAACAACAATGTGCATACCTACCTTAAACTGAGGGAATTTGATAACCTTGCATATCGTTACTTGAGCTAAACAATCAGTTTTGTCAGACACACCATATTCATGATCATCTTCACTCTGTAAATATATACAATTTTGTCACATTGATATAATGTCACTTCCCAATAGGCCAATATCTGACTCTGTGCACCCTTTTGAATATCATTGTCATATCTATGAAGTGTAATTCAGTTGCACAATGCAGTTTAATTCATTGTTTGCCTCTACTGAATCTTACCATATATAAGATATTGTATTAATTGGTGCCTATTCACTTGTGTGACTTTGTACCATTTTTGAGTTTGCAGGCGTTAGACACTGCTGGTGGTTAGTCCCTGAGGTTTGCCTTTACCTGCCACATTTTCACACATCCAAATTGTGGTATGCATAGTTCAGAATATACAAATGTACTTGACCTTCTTCGAAAAATATCTGATATAAGAAAATCATGAAATTTACTGAATTAAGGGACAAGTGCACCTCTCCATCTAGATTTTTACATTCTACAGGCTCTTCCTATCACTGATGAATCCTAGAAAGACAAAACAGCTGTATGATGCCGTTACTTCATTGGTTGGCCTTAATTTATCTGATCTTACCTTACATAATATCAAATGGTGCTATTCACTTTCGTGTCTTTTGTACAATCTTCTAGTAATTTTTTAATGAATCCTCGGTACATGGAAATGAAAATTGCTATTTTCTAGGCAAAACGGTTTCCTCAAAAAGCAAATACAGTATTTTGTAGTTTTATTTCAATAATATTTCTTCAATACCAGTAACTCAATACATTTTTAAACAAAAAAAACAAGCTTAAAGTATCAAAATCAATTTCATTTTAAGCTAATATTTTATTGCATATCTTGTATATATCTATCTGAATGGCAAACTTTGCCAATATCTATAAACTTGTCATTCTCAATAATCTACAGTCACTTTCGCTCTCTACACCCCTGGAATATGACATGGCAAAATTGAAGGCACAAGCAAAATCACCTGATTGGTTCCAGGAGAAAAAACTGACCAATCACAGACTTGAACACTCCTTTTCAAGATTACAAAGGAGTGACACCCTACATCAAAGCCAGTACAACATACCGTTATGCAATCTCAAGATTAGTTTGATGTCCATCAAAGGATCAAACTAGTCTTTTCCTCTTGTCCACAAGGTGTCGCACACCTATTATGCCATGACATGTTCCAAGGGTGCAGATTGAGCTAAAGTGATTGTAACCCCTGGAGTATTGAGGATGTTAACTTTGTGGACGCTTTCAAACTTGATATCTCTAAAATGACAAAGGACACTGAACTATCAAGATTAAAGAACTGTGATACAAGCACTTACCGATAGTTTCCTTTTGCGACTTCTTTTACGAGGATCCTGTACATGCACACATGGCTTTTCTTCCTTCCCTAACACAATGAACGGGATATCATCAGATGCCAAGTTGAACCCATATCCATCTGCATCTTCAACGTCATCCCAGCATATATCACAGCCAGTGTTATCTAAAGTGATAGTAAACTGGCCTTTATACAATCTTTCAACAATGCAAAATCATGATATATAGCAAAAAGATATGAGAAAATGTGTTTTTGTAGATCAAATCATTCTGATGTTCTATCAACCTTTTTTTGGTATCAGCCTTGAGTAAAGTATTTTTGGTATACCAGACAGCTCTTATAATTTTTTCAAAATTTCTAAAAAAAGACTTACAAAATTAAAGTCAAAAATCAAAAATCCTTTCCTATATAGCTTTACATTAGTGAAATGTATTTTTCCAAAACACAAAATCTCCCAACCAACCCCATTTCCTTGCTTTGCATGTCTATGTATCTGCTTCAGAAAACCAGATATCCAGATAAACAAAGCATAAAAATATGCTTCTGATGTATTTTCATAATTTTTGTTACCTGACATCCCCCCCGCCCCCCGCCCCCCCGGCCTCTTTAATACTACTAACACTCTAATCTATTTCCAAATTTTCAGCTTAAATTATTTTCATGAAATATCAGATTGGTAATTATAAGAAAAGTGTTATAACATTAATTCAAATTAACCATCTTCCTTTCGTTAGATAATTTCCATTGATATATATATATATATATTATTCATTGTGTGATCATAAACTTTCCATAACACTGATGACAACCTAATTCTAATCAAGAGTAGAGACAGAGTATGGTGTTAATAAAGTATCATACATTTGTATAAAGAAAAGAATAAAGAACATGGATGCTGTTGAGGATATTTTTAGCTTTCACTTGTGAATTCGAAAGGTTTGGATACTCAAACTTAGCAGATAATGATATTTGGCTTCTGAAATTACTGAAAATCAATTAACTGGACAACATAATTTAAGCATCTAATACATTTAAATAATATGTTTTTGTTAAATACATGTATTTGAGTGACTGCCTTTTCCTTGCCCGAGGTTTCGGATTATTTAAGAATTAGCAATTTAGCGGAACTCTGCATATATATGTAGATAACAAGTTTTTGTCACTCAAATAAAAGATGGATAAGTATGTGTGATTATTGATGGATAAGTCCTTGAAGTTCAAGATCTCATCACATTTTCATTTCTGAAACATGAGAGAGTTAGTCACTTGATCAGGTATAGCAAGTACAAATGTACATTTAAGTGCACATTTCATCTGAGCTCAACTGCAAATGTACCTCCATATCATCAATTTTTCACCATGAAAAAATCTAAAGGGAAAATTCAAGTGCAATATGCTGTTCCAGTGTTTAATGCTACCAAGAGAAATTCAATTATAATTAATGAACTACTCTTTATCAAAAACTGGTTTATTATTATTATTATGTTTATTCAGGCAAAGGCATAATAAAATTACACATTACAAATATCACATTACATGAGCAATTCAATAACAATTAAAATCAGTAATAAATTATTGTGGATTTCTTAAAATTATTAATTATAAAATATAAGATATCACAGAAGAATTTCACATACCTTAAAATATCACAGTTTAAACTAGTATCGCAGAAATTAAATTACACTGTGCTTGCAAATCTTCTAAGTAAAATAGTTGAAAATTTTAGAAATATCAATAAAAAAGAGAGAAATTAGATAAAACCAGATGAAAATGCCTTTGGCCTTGGATTACCCATAAAGCCTATAAAATAGGCTTATTTCCAATGGGGTCCATTTAAGGTGTAATCATTCCGGTTGAGATGTAAAGCCATGGAAAATTAGATTGAAATAATTTTTGCAGCATTAACTATAAATGAAACAGAGCACTACATTTGAAAGAAAATTACATTTACATAGAAGATATGAAAACAAATACTGAAAGTGAATAAAATGTTTTGGCACATTTCAGGGCATTTATGAAAAAGGATGGGATTTGAAGAGATATTACATAATAATATAATATGAACAATAATATAACATAATATGAACAATAATATAACATCACTACCCGTTCAACCAGACGCAAAGAAGTGGAGGTTGAGCTCAATAGTAGACGAAGGGGTTGTCAAATTCGCCTTTTGATTGTAGCATCAGAAATTGTTTTACTTTTTTAAAATGATATTTATTTTCAGAATTTTTAATATTTTCTGGAAGGGAATTCCAATCTTTTGCGGTCGAAGTAGAAAAGGAAGAACTTTCTATGCTTTTAACGTTTTTTATTGAGAAGTTCATCGTTCCAGATTGATCGTTTGATGGATATCTGAGATAAACAACTTCATTAATTCTTCTTACAGTTAAAAAATCTGGGCAAAAGATGAATTTTAGAAAAACACAATTATGCAAGCGGTGTGGGTAGGGAATAAAAAAAAACAGCGATATGTAGGGAAAAACCCATCAACAACAAAAACTCACATTTTTGTGTAATTTCCATGCGCAATCACAACGAAATCGAATATATATGTGAAGAATGAAAGTGGTCAAACTTATTGCTACAGACCAAAGATTGGGATTCTAAGTTTAGATAAGATCACAGACCACCGGTCTTGGGGACCTTTTTATGTGAAAATATTACACTGCTACAGTAAAATACCAGGAAATTATTTCATTAGTATCATATTTCTATGTCAAGACACAGAGACTTGGCACGAATCTTGACCCATGGGCCATATATATGTATTTTCGTGATAAGGGTTGTAACACCTTGATGTAGATATGGAATTTCTCCAACCAGGGACGTAGATCTACGTTCCTGCTGCAACATATGAAACATAACAACATCAAAGTGAATTCTGTGTGGACACAATTATGGTTATTGTATACCGAAGCAAGGGAAAATTTTGTGATTTTGGCATAGTTATTGATGTACTTATTGGAGACAAGAGCATGTTTCATCTGCACAAGGAAATCTCCACCTAGCAATTTCTTCATATATTATTATTTCTGAAATAGATCATAACTTGGTCAATTCTTGGTCAGTCATGTTAATCAAACAATCACTGGAAAGTTAAAATATTTCTCTTAAAGGTAATGTAGGATTCATTAAATTATGCGGTCCCTAGATTATCAAAACACACATATTTAGAAATTACGTTAGATTTTTCCCTTGTCGGGAGTTACAAACCTTTGTCACTATTCGTATAAAGTCCCTGTGTATGTGAAATAAAACTATTACACTAACAAATTAAGTTCCTGGTAATCGTAGTAGTGTAGTATTTTCACAAAAAACAGTCAATTCCTGAGGTCTGAATAACAGAGATAGTGTATAATGTTATCCCAATGTTACTTCGTGAAACCGAAAGTACGAAAACATTAGATAGGTAACATTTAGCGTCAAGTTGGACATGAGTAGGTAACTTTTAGCGTTCATGATTCATACCAATGGTGTTCTTAGTATTTTTGATTTTGTATTTCATACGGGTCCTTAATTCCTCATCACATATGAATTGATATGCATCTTCATCTGATAGAAATTCGCTGACTTTGCATTCTTTCGTTTGCAATGATACGGCATTGCCCTCCGCCATCTTCAATGTCGCCTAAAACGTAGACTCCCGAATACCGGATGTCGATAAAGGAAATTTTAAATAGGATCATCATCGGAAGGTCCACTTCCGGAAGCGTTTATATTATATAGTGCGTAAGAGATGTAACTTTAATCAAACTCCATTTTACAAGAATGTCGCTCACATGTATATATTTTTGTTGCAGCACCAATAATTAATATCAACCTACTTTAGTGAACAAAATACCTTTGAAATTCAGAAATAGATGATATTACGAATATTAGGTATGTACAATAGGAAGAATACCAACAACAATTTAGACAGTTAACTCACACAGAGAAACATTTAAAATCTTTTCATATGCTTCGATCTACATCCTTATCCAAATGGAAGTGGGTGGAGCTTTTACGTCATCAATGGTTGAAAGGAGCGTTTTGATTGGATCAGAACATCGGAGAGCTACCGTTTCGAACAAAAATGTGCATATCTTGGTTTTTGTTGAATTTCGTTTTAATATGATAAATACTTTGTCTCGTGTTAAAACCAAATTTATAATCTAATCTCCATTATACCCATAAAACAAGCAATAAGCAAACTACCTCCTAGGGATATACCGGCATTGATAAAAATGAAATAGGAATGAAACTGCTAGAAAGCTTAACGGTTTTCTAAAAATAGTAATTGTTACCTTAATTTTTACCTTATAACCCTCAAACTCTAACTTGATTTAGTCCTTTTTGAATGAGTGATAGCTGATTAAAATCCTTTAATAATTAAAGGCGCTAGAGTGCTTACATAGATTTCCAAAAAATAATATTATTGATCTCGAACTTCACAGTAGAAGTCTGAGATTCAAACTCTTTTCCAGACAGAGTATAATAGTCAATTGAGCAAGAATAAATTTTCAAGAAGGTCGTTAGACAAACAAGAAAATACAAACACGTGAAGAACAATTATCGTAATCCAAACTCAGTTTTAAAATCTGAAAAAGTACCAGAAAAATAAGACCAGATGTTCCGGAACAAAAAGCGTCTTCTATTTCATCGACATCCGTTATGTAAACTATGTGATCAATCCAAGTAAGTAATGTCGCTTTCTCAAATGAGAACAAAATGATACAACAACGGAACCGAACAAGTAAACTAACGAACAAACTTTCGAATCAACATTTAAAACCATAGGTAGGGGATGAAATGATGTTGTTATCCACAAATGGAAAATTCACAATCGGGAAATTGAAATCACAACGCTTATCATACAGTTTAATGTAAAGCTGTCCAGGTTGATTTTGTCACTGTAGGAAAAAGTCGAAATCAGCGGCTGATGTAGAAGTCTGCCTCGTCCTGACAAAGATTTTTTTAAAACAGTAATAAATGACCTTGACCTTAATCCTGAGACCCTGAAATTCGAAGTCGTTCAAGATAAAATTATTCTTTATATATGTGTGAATTTGATTAAAATTACGCTAAGGATGAAGCCGCTAGGATGCTGACAATGGTCTCTTATCTTTAAACAAATAAAGGGGGATAACTCTTACACATACATACAAAATTTTGAGGGGGGAATTGAAGACCAGAATGATGTATAGATTATATATATAAAGTGCTACATGTTTTAAAAATAATAATCAAAAGGAAAATGTCAAATTGGAAACAATCATATGCATAATACGTTCATCATTTATCGAAAATCCAAATTGCAAATTAAGGGGACGTGCTTCATTTTATTGAAATAAGTGCTCCAAAATGCTATCTTTTAAACAACACTGGTTAAAGTAAAGTTTAGAGACGGGAAAATTCATAACCATTGCTTGCCCTGTCAGGAGATAAGCGTATAAAAAGGTTATTTATTGAAATATGGTCACTGGATTCTGTTATTTTAACCAATAGGGCCTGTATCGCTCACCTGGCTTTGTTCGGTTGATTATCAAAGATTCAAACCATTCTAAATTCTAAACTACTAAATGTTTTAATCTAATTTTCTACTAGCCCCCATCTCAGTGGATCAGTGAAACTATTTTTAACTTTTCCTCGCCCTAGGATATTTCAGAGAAAATTAGCACAATTAGAAATAATCACAAATGAGCTGAAAGTGAAGAGAGGAGGGCAAGACTTAAAATAAAGAGCCTATTATGTCACAGATTCTGATAATGGTCAAACTTACGTAGGTCTTCATTTATATTATAAATAAAGAAGAAGATATCATACTAAGAAGGAACTCTGGGGAATCAGAATGGTAATTCACACCGTTTGTCAAATCCTCGATCTGAATCACAATGTACACGTAACGTAAACGTGATGTACACAAAATGTACTGTCCAACTTTGTACATATGCGTTTGATGTTAAGTGTTAGATCAACACTAACCTAAGCTTCTAGATTGAAGTATATAGCATAAAAAACGCAATGTTATTGGAAATAGCATCAGAGCGATACTCAACGACATCGAAGTTGTATCTCGAATTCCAACGACTCGGTTTTAAAAGACTGTATTTGAATCATGGAATCTACTTCTTCTACAAACAAAATCAAGAAAAGAAGTACGGTAATTAAATGTGTCACTGCCAACCAGACTGAAGTTTAAATATTTCGCATACTTGGAAGATTATTTTTTGATGCATGTTAAATTATAGCATTCTTATGTATAAACCATGTCGTGAAATAATTGTCCTTAGCGTGAGTTATCGCCCCTGTTCTAAATCATGTGACCTAATAGAAAAAAGAAGATGGAGTTACTGGCGGGGTTGCGACGAGATCCTAAAATTTGCACAAAAGACGGCCGACAGGTCAGTAATTACAAGTAAGTTTCGTTTTTATTGTAATCAATGATGTTATTATTTAACAGTTTATCCCTCCCACTGGACTCGGTTGTTAATTCAGCTCCATTCGATTGAAAGTTTACCTTTTTACTCCGATTGGTGCAGTGACTGCCAGTTACATACCCCAGGAAATACTGCCCGGCCTGAGGGAGCGGTTTCCCGTAATAGGTATTGTTTGCGGAACGTCTCTTCTGTGGGACTACTGAGTCCTGACAAGGAAAGATTACCTCAGGCCGACACCCCCACCCCAATGGCCACCCCTAAAAATATATTGAAAATCCTACCTTTACCTGGGTCCAGGGATCTGACATGGGGATCCACGCCCATGTTGCAGTAATTATATATAATACATCTTGTAGAGCACTTTAGACCTAGCCTCGCCTTTCAATACACACATATCTACATGTGGTCGACGCTGGGGTTAGATATTCATTTTTAATTATAATTCATAATAGGCCTACATGTTACATGCCACGGTGTGGGCTAGGGTGTGTGTGTGGAGGGGGATATATGTTAAGTATTGGATCTTTCAGATCAGTAGATCAATTAAAAGTTAATAAGTAGTTAACTTCGCTTGATAGCAAGCATCAGATCTTGACAGATGTTTAAATTTTAACTCCATGGAAAATTCAATGTGTTAGGTAAATAGTACTGTAGTGAAACTGGACTGGGCAGATCAATTGTGACCAGTTAGCTCAATAAGTTGAGCATCGGTTTGTAGTTTGGAAGGTCCTGGGTTTGAGCCCGCGGGTCTGGCGGCCCATTTTTTCTGCTCCTGTGTTACAGAACAATACCCCATCCTTTAATATTATAAGATAGCTATTGTTTTAACATGTGTATTCATGTAAGTGATTAAAATAAAGGTGTTACTGATTTCATTTTTTTCCTTAAGTGAACTTGGTAAAGGTGAGAAGGCAACAAGTTCAAGATCTGGAACATCTGGAATAAAGACAAAGTCCAGCGATATCTACTATCCAGTGACGATATTACAGCAAAATGACCAACGAAGTAGAGTCCACTATATAGGTAATCATAATGACATAAATCTGAAACAATTTTGAACTAGTGCTCTAGTAACAGAGTAAAAGTGTCCTTCCATGTGTATATTTGTTATCAAAAAAATAATTCATATAAATATATTTATAAATCAGGATTTGATTATTTCTGTAATTTTATTTGGAATAGATACTTCAATTTTACACATAGATTGTCCAGTGGTAGTCTCTCTCATAGTACTTGATTTTGATTGTTTTAAATGATTGCTGCTGATATAAACACTTGCACCTGGTATTGATCTATCTCATGTGAGGGGTCAGATACAAAATGTGACTGATATTAATTCTTCTTTTTGTAGGATACTCCCACAAATTTGATGAGTGGTTAGAGCGGGATGCAATTAAGGAGAGCAGAAGTACATGTATGATAAACAGCTTTCTGCTACAGCAGCTGCTGGTACATCTACTGAGGGAGAAGCTATTTTAATGTAATATATAAAAGTGTCTAATTGAGTTGAAAGTATACCAAATTATAGGTTACTGTGACCTACGTTTTGACCTTTAACCTACATAAAAAGGCTTGTCCTGGCTATATCTCCTATATATTATAGTAAATGTCACTGGAACTTCATACTTGTCTTCGGTTATGAGTTCACCTTGCCAAGCTCGTGCGTCACCTGTCAGAAGTAGGTCACTGTGAGCTCCTTTTGATGTTTGACCTACATTAAACAAATTCATTATATGCATATAAATTCATGCTCGTTGGAGGACTGTAATTTGTCAATTTTTTTTTTATTATTATTTGATTTTTACAATACTTAAAATTTGGAGAATATTATGGAGAGTCTTACACGGTGATTCTGAATAACCTTGGGTACATGGTACTTTTTCTTTTGAATCACAAATA